TATTTGATAGGGAATTAGAATCATAGGATTCAATACTTTCAGAAGTTTTTGTGTTGTTTTTTATCATGTTTAACTTTGTATTTTTATCTTATTCTCATTTGGCACACCTTTACTCCTACATGGTTGGACCAATAGTGCAGGGGGGATATTCGACAGCATGCTAGCAGCAGCAGGCTAGCAGCAGCAGGCAGGGGGAGAGCTAAGAGAAGATTCTTTTTATAGATATTTTCCAATAATTCTATTTCCAAGCATTAAATATCGAAAGTAAAAATTATTTGTAGTTTTTTAATATTTTTTTTACGGTTGACATATTTATAATTTCATTACAATTTTTGTTTAACTACTTCTAGCTTTTTAATCTTTAGAATTGTTTCAAAAATCCATGATATAGAAAAAATTTAGAAAAGACGGTATCATTAACAAGTCTGCTAATTTCTTCAACATCTTTGCCAAGCAGGATTGAATACTCTCTTTTGAACTACAACTTCATAAACGCTGATTGGTGATCTAATTGTTTATTTGTTTCAGCATTTCAAGAAATCTTTTTAATAAGATCAAATAAAATCAATATCTAAGATCTTGATCAAAACAGATGTATTTGCTATAGTAGTTTTGTAGTATCTTGTTTAAACTAGATATGTAGATATGTCTATGCTTGTTAAACTTGTTTTTACCAATTACATAAATCAATATCTTTCTACGTACAATCAATCTGATAAATATCCATTATTAATTTCTTAAAAACACTTGTATACCAATTATCTGTATTGACAATTTATTGTCTCCGTCTTTTAGCAGAATATGGAAATTAATATACTATATATACACTTTAAAGTGGTGCCTTGTCATTCCTAATTTTTAAGTTTCCAAAGAACACTTAAATTGACACTTGCGTTTTAAACAATTGCGTTTTAAATGAAAATAATTTAATTATGATACAGTGGTAAGCCTATGTACCAATATAATATACAAGACATTATAGTGAAGCTTTGCTTACGTTCCAGCTTGCATGTAAACAAGGGAAGCTGTTAATTAAAAGGGGAAATGTTTTTGTTTTTGTTTTAAAGATATTATTGTTTTATGACATAAAATGGAATAACTTTAAAGGGAGTGTTCGCTAATTATAATATAAACTATATACAAATGTGGCGAAAGATAATCGATGACTATAGGTTGTAATATCTGAATGATTTGTTTGAAATTAAATTTATTTTTTACGGTTTAAGTCGTATGTTGCAATTTTCTCAATTTGTATGGACGTTAAGTTATAAGGTATGAGACGTCTTTAACAATTTTCTCCTTATAGACGCAACAGATAGAAGTAAGATTAGTAGCGATCAAAAGCGCTTTTTTATCGCATTAAGCCTATACCCCCTTTCATTTTTCGCGACCACTCCCATTAAATGTGTAATGAAACATGAGAAATTTAGGTTTATTTATTATTTTTTATTTTTTTTGGATATTTAACCCAGTTATTACACAGCTGGATAAAATATGCAGTACGCTACATTGCACTACACTACACAAAATTTTTAAAAAGTTAGTCATTCCTTCATCGGTTAAAATGCAGGCTTGTTTCCCAGTTATCATAGTATCAAACATTTTTTGTAAGGTGAAAAATTAAAAAAATAAAGAGCTTCTCTCATATACTCATGGCCCAACGAATCAAAGGCTTTACGAAAATCAATCGACCCAAATTTAAAAAGTGGCTCTAACTGCTCAGCCTACATATTTGTGCCAGTTGACATGGTAGTAATTGACATTATTGATTCTGTGAACAAATTAACCTGTTTTGTAATAACTAAGAAGATGAATCAATACTATTGTTTTACTCAAGGTGTTACTATTGTAGCACTGTGTCTAACGTGGCCGGGGAAGAAATACCAGCCAGACAAAATCCAACTTGAGTGACGACTGTAGGAGGTTATATCATGGTTGCCGGAGGATGTGGGAGATCGTAGACATATAAATCATTTCAACCTCATGACTGTCTTTGAAACATTAAACCCTGTAAAAAGAATACACTATAATTGATTGTCATTTGGTTCTTTTAAAACCAAAATTACAAAAGAATGTTTAGCAATGTCAAACTTTAAGAGCAAATCTTAATTGAAACAATTAAGTTTGATTTGATTTGAAAACACAATTTTTGGATTTGTATATATAGAATACTGAAGGGTGTCCATCAGTTAAAAAAAATCACATCTTTTTATTTTGATGAATGAAGAAAATAAAAGTACCTGGAGTTATTCTTATGATGATGTTGAAAATATTTTTTCTATTGACATTTTCACTCAAAACAGGAAGATTTTCTAAATTAATGATCATAAGTCTAAATTGTCCCATCCCATGCAGGATACCATAGAGTTAGGGTTTCCAACGTAAACGGATTTTACTTGCAAACAGTTGCGAGCCCTATAAACTCCGCGCAATTCCACACAATCGAGAACAGTGGCGCGCAATTCCACGCAACGGAATTCTGATTGGAAACCCTACATGCAGAATCCTTCAGAAATGTAGCACCCTTTTTCATAGGATTGATACTATTGAGCGTTTTGACAGTAAAACTTGGACCACCCTTGATAAAAAACTAAGCAATGCTACCTCTGCCCACTCTGAAGTAAGAGTAAGGTAACATTTTTTATTGGATATTTGCTTGATCTCTCCTAATGCATTTCAGTTTTATTCAGGGTATCCATGGAATGCAAAAAATCGTTGCAATCCAATTCCACATTTTTAGTGCGTCCTTGTGTAAGACAATTTTGCAAAAACTCTGCATAAAAATGTGGTGCGCAAGTAAAATTATTTTTCCGCAAATTTGGTCAAACGTCATATCACATGTCAAATGTCAAATTCATGCAATATCAGCCATTAATCGCGTAACAAAACTATAGCAGAGACATGCACTTTTGTGAACCATACCCCTAAATTTACCCTGTTGTAAGGTCGTCTCCAACAAACTGTACCTCCGTTGAACCCTCCGTCCACCTTCCAAACCAAACATTTCCAAGGCTTTCACGTAAATATAAACAAAAACCTCATGGAACTAATAAAACGTAAAGTGCATTAAAAGAACCGATTTTAACATAATTTCAGTGAATCATTTACAAATAAACAGTGAAATTGCTTTAACCAGATAAATATTTATTTCAGAAGAATTAAATTGCTTTATACTTCAATTCAAACAACTATTCCCGTGCTACAGTATTTTAGATCGTAAGTTCCGTATGTTTAATTCACAATAATATTTTTAGACCTTTTATTTTCCGATTCACAACAGGACCTTAAGCCTTTGTTCAATTCTCAATGATACATAATTCTTTAACCAACTGTTCGTTTACAACAATATTCATGTATTTAGTTACACTCAACTGGTTAATATTTATTAACAATCATTATTTATATACATGTACGTCAATAACAATTTGTATTTTGTAGGAAACCTCGTTACTGAAATATACATTTTTCAAGAAGAAGTTATCGTCTATGTGTGCATGAAGAATAGAGTGTTTCCCTAGCCAATTCACCTTATTTCCCTCTTTCGAGTAATATTCCTTTTGTTCGGCTCACAACTATACAGTAAAATTTTTTTCACAATTTCTTTGTAGTGTTCCGCACAATTTGTTTGAACAGAATTTTTCAGCAGATTTTTTTGGTTGGTGTTGCACATTGTTAGGCTGCTTTCAGAAAAAAAATGTTGTGCCGACATTTTCCTTCTGGCAGAGACCTTAGTCTAATTATTTTATCTTTTAGCTTTTAGCTCTATAAAACATTTTAAAAACTTTATTTTATGGCCCATTTACTTTATTTTCTTCAGTGAAACAGAAATGATTTTGCGTGGGAATGGCCGTTTTACACTGGTAGAGATATGATGTTGATGGAAATTTGATTAAAACTCTACCAAGCTTTACCATTGTGTTTGAGTATTGATAATTTAAGGCGACATCCCCCACCCCCTCACCACTCTCAATGTTGACACCATGAAATTAACTGGAATTTTTTGAAAAAAGATCTAAACTTGCATTTATGAAAAATGTAAAAAAAACATATTATTTATTGAAAACCATTCTCAGAAATATTTTCCATTTGCGATGTCATTTTTTAATTTAAAACGGCTGGGGGGGGGGGGGTGATTATCAGGCAGAGGCCCAAGGAAATGATGTGTCCATGCCGAGTAGAATTACAAGACAGAGAGGAAGCCTGTTCTAGACACGGCGCTCAGCCCCCTAGCCTGTCCTAGTCGCAGTGCTTAGCACAGAAAGTGTCTTAGCTGTCCCTAACCCTAAAATTTATGCTAATCTCTCTCTTCTTGTAATTAAACATGGCAAGTGCATGTAACCTCTGTGGGTATCTGCCTGATTATAATTATCAGGTACACTTGAAATTACGCGTTCAGTCTGTAAAACTCTACGGGTTTATTTGTGGGACCGTTGACAGGGTGAGGGAAAGATGAAGAAGATAATTAACCGCAATCAAAGCAGCAAAAAACTGCATGACATATTTCTTTCCAATTGTGAAGGACTCAGCATGGATGTTTTGTTAACCAAGAAGAAATTTATGTGGCAGGAGGATGGCATAACGAAATGTAAGAATATTTCGACACATCCAAAGACGACCTTTCAGTCGTCATGTTCACGTGATGTTTATTGTCTAGTCGAACAGTGATAACTAGAAAACTCTGAAATAGGAAGACGATTTGATAAATGTCTAGCAAAACTATTTGCTAATTGTATCTACATCAAATAAACAATTAAGTATTCCTATAAAGTCGTCTTCCTATTCAAAGTTTTCTGGTTAGCACTTCATAAATACATATTAATTCAACTAGCTAGTTCACATCAAACTATGATGTTCAAGATGTTAAATCTTAAAGATTGTTGAATTAATTGTTCATTTTAATAACAGTGGATTAAGAAGACGACATTTAAAATAATCTTATCAACTATAAGCTAATATTTTCTGAGAAGTCGGGTTTTACATTTTTTTCATAATCAACACTATTGAAAAGGGGCCAACATATGTTTATTTAGTTTACAAGTTTATATGGCGAGACACATAGTGGTGACAAACTAAACTAACAATTTTTGTAAACAAATTAAATAGATTTCAAGTAGATAAATAGATTATATAAGTTATACATATCACACTAGTAGATACGAAGATTAGTTCTGCCCTGGAACTACCTAGAATAATTATAATATAAATTATTTTTTTTCAGAGATAATTTCTTAAAAAGTAAATTAGGAAAGGAGCTGAGTCTTTGCCATAAACCCTGATTTTCTAATCCTTATATCGTAGGAACCCAACGCCGTAAACCTTAGATATTTCAAAAAATGAATTTTGTTAAATAAAATGACATAAGTTTGAAATATGAAAGATTTACACTATCAGGTTGCAAAGATATAGGGATTATAAAATTGGAATTTGTGGCAAAGACTCAATTTCTTTCGGACTAAAATCAATCTTTTTGGGATTAAATATGTGCAAAGAACCGTACAAGCGTAATTTCAAGTGACCCTCCATGTAAAGATGACAATTCACAACGGTACCCTTAAAAGTTTTGTCTAATCAAATAAAAATTATATACATTTATGTTTATTATTTTTAAGCTAAAAATGTTCAACTGTGGCCGGTTTCTCTCCAAAAATGGCGCATTATTAATTTCTGCTGCAGGAAAAAAATGAAGGAATTATCGGATTTAAAAACTTTTTAATCTAATAAACGACATTATTGAGCAGATGAAGGTTTTAATATGTGTTTGCGATACAAAATGTACAGCCTTTATAGTTGCCAACCAACATAAAAATAAACAGCTTTAACTGATAATCAGGGGCAGATACAGGGGGGGCGGCAGGATCTTTGCACCCCCCTGAAATTTTTAGATAGCTTCTCCATAGCACTTCAAGGAAAGAAAACCTAGTGCAAAACAGAAAAAAATATCTATCTTAAAAAAAATTTTGGTTTCTAAATCTGTTTTTTTTTGTTCCGAAATAAGTCTATAGCACCCGGTCCCTTGTATCCTGTATCCGCCCCTGCAGCGAATACCGTGATGTTTTTAGAATATTCAAAATAACGACTTTAATACTGTCATTGTTGTGTAAGAAAAATGTGAAAAAAAAGTTTTCTTACTTATGCTCTCCACAAGACCTAGAACTCTTGGCAAAGATTTGGTCAGAATTCTAATTAAAATTATGTTTTAATTCTTTTAAAAAGAAAAAAGAACTGTATAAAATGACGTGAACTGGGAGAGGGGTGGGGGGAGAATAATAAGAAAACAGAGCTGAAAACTGGATGGTGGATATCGAGATTAATGGGTGATCCTCTCTTTTTCTTAATATCGAGACTTATCTTATCTTGTACTTGTATTCTGAAAAGTGTTTACAATTCTACCAATCAGAGTCGCGTATAAGAAGCCGATAAATTTGAAATTTTGCGCGCCATTTAAGATTATATACAGAAATGGGAGGAACTCTCTAATTTAGAAAAACCGGTTCTTGATTTTTCTCTACTATATCCAAGAAAGAACGGATTAAGAAGAAAATCAAAAGTGTGTTCATTGGATACTCAGATTAAGTAATCGGGATTAAGGATATCTCATTCTAAAGTTTTCAGTTCAGGATGGATTAAGATAATAGAGACTGCGAATTTTTAAATTTTATAAATTTAATTTTATACTTTTTGCTGTAGTATAAAGAAGTCTAGCTGTTTTGGCCCTGCACATCATTATATATATATATTTTATATACTTGATTTTCATTTGATCACCCGAGATACAGGGGTGTATCTACCCCTCCCCCCTTCGCTTCTGACGAGATATCCCATGGGAGTTAGAGAGGAGAAAAATAAATAATTGAAAAGTTTAGTGAATTTCTTTTCACGTCGTATTTATTTATTTATTATTTATTTATTCATTTTCAAACTTTTTAGGTTTCGATACACGTCTCAATACTTTTATATTATTCATCAAACTTTTAGAATTTGATAAAGGTTTTTACAGACTCGATATTATTTATATATTGCCTAAACATATTTTATCTAATTTACTTATTTTTCTTTGCATGATTCCTTTATACTGTGCAACTGAAATAAGCACTCAAATCGTAATAAAATAAATTATTATGAATATATTTTTGTTATCGCCAAATGATTTAGAAAAGAACTCTTTTTTAAATGCGTCTTGTTTTCAAATCTACAATTGATATGGCTTTTCTTTTTTAAATTGGCTATTTCCTGTTCTAGAGAAAAATATGAACCGTTTAAAGGGGGTGGGGAGACTTTTCTGTTTCTCACATATAACAAGATGTGATCACATCTTGTGACACAATGTTTTCCTTTCCATTTTTCAAAAACAGCAAACAGCCCTTCGATGGTCCTGTATGAATAAAGAAGATGTTTTAACAAAAATCCCTACAAAAGTCTAAAAACGTCAAAGTTATAATTTCAAAATGAGAGTGCTAGAGAAAAAGCTAACGGTGGGGTGGGNGAGGCGTTAAATTTTTAAAAAGCCCATTAAACATAAAATACGTTTGTCACATGTTTATATTAGTAAACTAGAAATGAATTCTTTTGTATATATTTTTCTGTCAAACTTTTTCCATTAGGCTTTACGAGTATGAGCATATATTGCACCTCAAAATCTTTTCTTTAAGATTCCCCTGATTTTAAAGTTCATAAATTGAAAAATAAAAAAATTGAATTCCTCTTGTAGTAAGTGCTTTCCAACCATATTTCACAGTGTAGCAGATCTTGAGGTAGCAGATACGGTTTCCCACTCAATACATCTAGATATATAATATCTATGTATATAAAGTTGCAATTGTTTGTCCGATCATAACTCAGGAACCCCTGGACCTATTTGCCTCAAATTTTGATTAGGGTACTCGGGAGACCCACGGGAATGTGCTTAGCTTGGTTTGAGATTTTAAGTTGAGTGGACTCGATTTAAACAGCGTAAATTTAGTTTTCCGTCAAAATCGTATAAGTGCGGGTAAACGGCTGAGTAACTTTTAGTATCCTGGGCAGCGCTGGGTTCACAAGCTAGTACATATACAAAGGAGATATCTCTGTTTGTCTGTCTGTGTGTCTGTTTGCTTGTATGTCCGAACAGAACTCAAATTTTTATTGGAGAACTCAGTAGAACCCCGGAAATATCTAATTTGATCGGGTTATAATTATATTTATGAAAACTAACCTGTCTGTATCGGAATATTTTCAATCATATTCATCGATAGAAAAAAAGGTTAGCTCTGTCGTTCATAATAAATTTGGAAATCCCACCATGTAAATGGAGAGTCATGTGAAATTAGGGTCAATGGGAATTCCCTTGCGCGGAATTGCGCGCTACTGTCCTTGAATTGCGCGGAATTGAGCTGGAATTGCAGGTTTCGCAATTGCGCGCAGGTAAAATCGACTTGTGTTGGAAGCCCTATATGAAATTAAGCCAAAAAAACCCGCTGAGCCACATTTTCCTTAAATCTTGAAGGTTTCTTACCTTTGTCAAGAATTGGTAGGATTATGGACGTTTTAAGATGATATGAACCATTAAACCACGTGACCACCTTGTGGGCCCACCGGCTCAAATCCTGTCTGAAATATAGTTCATAATTTTAACACTAGATGAAGTTCTAAAACCAAAAAAATCTAAAATTATAAAATCAAAATTACAAATTTAAATTAAGATTAGAAACAAATATGAATAGAAAAAAAAATTTCTTCAAATAAATTCCAATTTTCTTTAATTATCATGATAAGTTAAACAGTTTTTAAGGACTAACCATGTAAATGTAGGACCCCTACATTTGATAGACAAAGGTGACATACCATAAATAACATTTTTATAGAAAACAAAATCAGAGAGCACATCACACTCAAGTAAATTGCATGCTCAATTTAAATTCCTCTATAAGAAAATGCTTTAAGTTTTTAGGAAATTTTTTTGACATTTTCGAAATTGCTTGCTTGGAAAAATCTGAGACAAAAAGAAGAAGAAAAAATAAGCTTTCATTTTTCGGTAATTTTATATGTTGATTTAAAAAAAATTCCATTTTCTTTTGTTTTATGTAACAAGTCAAAAATTGATGATTGGGAAAGAAGTTAAAAGAATGTAATTCTGTTAAAAAGGAAAATTGTTGTTTTATTAGGTTTAAAAGGTAGAAGTGTGAGCTCGTATGTAATCCCTGAAATGCCGATCACTTGACATTTTTTCGTCAATCCCCTTAAATGGAGTGTCTAGCTAGACATAGTAGTTGAGCAGAGAATGCAGAATTCTAGAGACATTTTTCATGATTTATTTGAGACCTATTAGACTTTTTTACGATGCATATATGTGTTCAACAAGAGCTCCACAGCTAAACAATGTTTCTACAATATTTAATGTGATTTATAGGTCTCAAGCTCTGAAGCAAAAATCGATGAGAATTTTTCCAATTACTTCTTAAAAACCAAAGCTAACAACAAGTGTTTGAAAGTGCTAAAATTTACATGTAAAGGGCTACAGAAAAGTATAATTGAGTTAGAGCGGTAAAATCAAAGCACAAGGCATTACGAAATTTCTTAATGTCTTCAAATTTATGAGAATCTATGTGTGCTGCATTCTCAGCTCAACTACCATGTCTAGGCAGACACTCCCTTAAAGAAATAACTTACATGGTGCCCCATTCAGTTGTACGCTTGAGAATAGCAGTGGGTTGGGGATACGTCCGGGACACTGTACACGTCAGGTTCATCAATCTTTACAATTTAAAGGGACTGTACAGTGTACACATAGTTTTAAAGTTATTCTCCATTTTTAGAGTGAATTGATCTATTCACAAAGGTGCCCTATCCTTAAAACCTTAGTCTGAGAAAAAAAATTTAGATATGTAATGTATTTCTATTTTCAAAAAAGTGTTAAATTCTGAATATTTTCTTTACTGTCTCTAATGAAGAAATTCGTATCTAACTTTGAAAGAGAACCCACTGGCCACAATTAAAGATATTCATTTTTGTATAGAAAAACTCGAATATTTCATGTATCCTTTAACCGACAAAGTTTTAACAGGTACCCTTGTGAATTAGATATGCCATTTTATAAAAGTAGTTTTGCTATAGATTATGTCTGCACAGTTCTTTTGAGGATAGTTCCAATAAAGAACTGACATTTTTGCCATCTTTGAGCCACAAGCTATAAATTCCATGAATATACAATAATAGTTGTTTTTCATACACAGCTAGTGTAAGCTGAACAAGCTTAATGGCTTCTTTTAATTTCCATGTTTATTGAAACATCTTGTACCAATACCTAGTCTAATATAGTGTAGTAGTGAATAGTAATGTAGTAACGCTTAAGGCTACAATGCAAGGAAAGTTAATTGCAGTTGCTTATACTCTGCGCACATATTGAAACAAGCTCTATGTGGGCGGAATTTGTAAACAAGAATAGATGCATCAGTGTTCGTTTAGTATCCAAGGAGGATAAAAGAATTAAATTTTGATAATTTTGATAATTCACTTAACAGTTTCCTATGACCAGAATATTTCATTGATTTTTTATGTGAAAGATGGATCCAATGTCAGGCTTCGACATCCGTTTTGTGTTTACATTACCGCCCAGAGACAGTACACTGCAGTACAAAATCTTGCGTACACCTATGAAATAACTTTCCTTGCATTAAAACCTTGGTAACGCCGATCCAAAAGTTGCAACTTGCAATGCAAGCCCATGTGCAAACATCGTTGATAATTTTGCTAATTATACTTCTTAAAAACTGAAGCTAAAAAGTGCTTTTTAGTTCTAAACTGAACATGTACAGGACTAACAAAGGATAACTGAGGTAATAACCAAGGCCATTTTGGCCAAGGCGTTGCAACACTTTCAAATTGAGCCCGACTTAAAAATTGATGCAAATTTTCATAGCAGTCTGAGTACTATGTTTATGTTGTGCAAAATCAGACTTCATACAAAATTGATATTTGCACATGGGTGTTATAGTAAACATTCTGTTATGACATAAATGTAAAAGCATAATCGATGTTGTTATAAAAAACAGTTTTACCAATGTAGTTAGAAAATAAACATATATGGGAAATGGTTCTGTGAACGCTGCACAATTGCTGTGTTTCACATACGATCTTTGGACTCTTTGAAACCGTATGTTGGTTCGTACAGTTTCCATATACAGTGGTCGTTGTTTATATCAAAGCAACTTTTGTATTAAGCTTTTTCCAAAATTACAAGTCAACATTGAAATAATTTATTTCCATTTTTATGTGTCTCCAAGCTGATTGAAAGTTTAATAAAAATTAAAATAGAAAGTCGTCTTCATTTGGATTGATATATGCGACGACGACTATATAGTTTATAATAAGTTATCGATTTTCTTGAGACGGGGGTTACTCTGTTTTGTGTGTTGTTTGCGGCCAACCTGGAATGATTTGTCTGGGGAAAAAATATATATCCCCCACTAGTGTTCCAACGGGCCTATTGTTCAATTTTATCTGGTGTGTTTGCTGTTATCCGTCAACAAGCATCTACTTTATTTAATAAGGTTGGTTACTCTCGATGCGCTCCAATGTTCGAGAAATGTCGTCTCCTTAGCATAGATAGAAAACATACGTATATGACGTCACTCTCGCCTCTGTAATCAGATGACGTCATATACTTTAGTTATATTCTATTTTATATTTTATTTATCTGCTAAGGAGACGACATTTCCCATACATTGGAGCGCGTTGAGAGTAAGCAACCTTAATATAAAACCTTGAGTTGACCTGTGAAAGGGCATTCCTTTAGTTACCTGTTCATGGGCTGTGAACTGAAATTAGGTTGTTTGACAGAACTTACTAGAAAATCCACCACGGCCGGTTCAGCTAGAAACCACATATTTAAATATAACAATTCAGAAGTTACTCACAAAAGATGAGACTTAAATGAAGAACTGAAAACTTTAAGATTAATAATGTAAAGGCTGAATTCTGTTATCTGCCATAACTATAGATATTGAATGATATGAATTATCATCCTGTGGATATAATTCGGTTTTTTAAAGGAGTGGGACAGTGAGTAACCATCGAAACAAACCTAGTCATTTCAACCTTGCAGATTAATCCTGCAAACCTTACCGAAAACAGAATTCGAAGACTCCTTACATAAATGTTGTATTAACCCATCCTAAGGCTATTCAATCAACTACCTTAGATGAAGGGAAATAGAATATCTAACTCTCCAGATTTCTTTATACATTGATACCCTGAGAAGATCAGGATATAATGAAAAACCTGTATTTCAATCCAAATCCTCAGAAGATCTGGATGTAATGAAAAACCTGTATTTCAATCCAAATCCTCAGAAGATCTGGATATAATGAAAAGCCTGTATTTCAATCCAAATCCTCAGAAGATCTGGATATAATGAAAAACCTGTATTTCAATCCAAATCCTCAGAAGATCTGGGTATAATGCAAAACCTGTATTTTAATCCAAATCCTCAGAAGATCTGGGTATAATGAAAAACCTGTATTTTAATCCAAATCCTCAGAAGATCTTGGTATAATGAAAAACCTGTATTTCAATCCAAATCCTCAGAAGATCTGGGTATAGTGAAAAACCTGTATTTCAATCCAATACCATGAGGCCAAATTTAAAGAATTTGAGCCGTGGCTTAAATTAAAGCCGCGGCTCAAATATGGTTGGTTCCACTTAAAACTGTATTCAATTTTTCAAGATAGAAGCCAGTGCTCTAATGAACCCGGTTTTTGTCAGATTTAAACCGCGGCTCAAATTCATTAAATTCAGACACTGAACTTCTAAGAAAAACAGAAAAAGGAATATAACATGGTTTAATCTCGTGGATAAGTACTTCCCTAAAGATACAATACTATGAAAAATCTTCATCAAAGTTTCATACTCTTGTCTACCTAACACGGAGAAAATTATTTCAAGTCACAATAAGAAAATATTTTCGAGAACACCTAGTAAATACTCTAAGAACTGTTATAGTAGAAAAGGTGAAGAGTCTTGTTCTCTATCAAAGTAAATTATATATAGAGCTGAAGTTATATCAAAAACAGGTTCTGTGAACTCTGAGCTGGGAACTTTAGAATGGTGGATATCAGGATTAATGCTTAATCCTCAGTTTTTGCTAATCTCGAGACTAACATAATCTCGAGATTATGTTAGTCTTGAGATTAAATATTTAGATCAACAGATTGGTTCGTTTTCTCGACTGGAAGGGTCTTCACTTAATTTCTCAAACATTTATTTATTAATACTTCAGTTAAAATTGGTTACAAAAGAATCCCAAACGTATCATAAAATATTTGTCGTCACCAATAATTTTCAAAATGGCTGACAACAAATTCTTGATTTGTTAGAAATTGCGGATTTCTCTCATGGGATAAAATCTATTTTCAAGGCTGTCATTAGTCAATGCAATTTACGAACTATATTTCTGCACTCTCATTGGAGAAAACAATGTACGGATATCCAGAGAGAGAGAGAAAAAGAGTGGATTAAGGACTAAAATTAAAAGTTTCCACAGCAACCATATTTCTTCATTTAGGATCAAAAAACAGCAACTGAGCACCAGTTTTTCAAAACACATCTGGGAAATAAAGAACAAGAATGCCTCATTTGAGATAAACTGGTCTATCTTAGCCAAAGGCATATCATACCATCCCGCCATTAAATCTTGTAACCTGTGCAACATGGAACATGAATCTTCTAAAAGATTTTAAAAAATCCTCCAAAGATTTTAAGAAATCAACAAATTAATATCCTGAAGAATGCATAGCATTGAATGTTGATACAATAAAACTTCATATCATGTTTTTAATACTTATTTTCTTGTATATATTTCATATATATACATCATAACTTTAGATTTCGGAACTTTCTATGATTATATAGAAAAAAATAGTTTTATATTCTAAATTTTATTTTAAAATTGAAATAAAAATATTTAATTTTTCATTCATTCCGATTGAAACTGCTTTTAAATTTGCCAATAGAAACTAAATAACAGCAGACACACTCCTCTTAATGGTGAAGATGGAAGAACAATACTTGAATATTCAAGATTTTAGATACAGTATATACATATACAACACTAAGAAGATTTAAATATTTTCTTTTCTTGGAATTAAATCTTTATTTTGATATATAGAGAACATAAAAAAGTTTTTAAACTACGGCTAAAAATAGATGAAAAGGAGAATTTCAAGTGATTATATTGTTATTTACGATTCACAACGATACCTTTAATCCTTTATTTTAGTAACAGGTGTTTTTTTTAATTAAAAAAGTGAATATTTATCGAAACTTTCTTTATTGTTTGTGTAGCATAAATATGCTAAGTCACTTAATTATCTTATAGTTGAAATTATAAAAGATTTTTTTACATTGGACTATTAGATATTCCAAATTTAAAGGAATTGAGCCTGTATAACATCATTTCTGATATGTCAAAAATATGAATTCTGTTTGAGCAAATAATATAAGTTTGAAATATCCGAGGTTTACACTATCAGGTTGCAAAGATAGGAAAATTAGAAAATTAGAGTTTGTAGCAAAGATTAAAAATCCTAAGCGAGATTCTTTAGTAAAAGGAAGAAAAAACAGTTGTTTTTCGTGTATGGAAGTATTTTATGGTGAAAGGCAGTTTGTTTTAAATTTTCTGTATAGGAAGAAATCGTTAAATATGCATTCGAAATTGTTTATAACATCCACATGATTTTAATAATCTGTTTTGCCTTTTAAATGTTGCTTTTTAAACCGCCATCTTTAAAAAAAAAACTTTCGCAGATTTGTCTGTTTACATTAATGGACTTCCTAAATGTTGAAAAATAAGAATGTTTTTAAAAGTTAGACTATTCAAATAATCACACATTACCCTTCTTCAACAATAAAAGGGGTGGTGCCACCATTTAATATAAATTTCAAAGTGATAAAGACTTGGAAGATCTTGTGAACTTGGAAAGATTAAAAGTTTGAAAGTGGTGCCAAGTATGCTAAAGTAATCTACAGAATCCTTACCAAATATAATCATCTCTTTTGAAGTGTAGGAATCCTCTAGGTTTGAAGACACTCTACGAATAGAACATTTTAAATAGATTTCTTTTCTTGAGAGTTGAGACTCTGTTTCAGTAAATGGACTGTTTATTTTATGACATTTTATGAATATATGTTAGAATATTCAAGAACAGTCCATTTAAAATATTTTTTCCAAACCTGCAACTATATTGCCCTGATAGACTTGTGTCAACTGTATGAAGGTTTAAAGCTCTATACTGTGTAAAAGGATCATTTCCTAAAATTAGAAATATAGATTCATTTTCTTAAAATAAAAATGATTAAATTAGAAATATAGATTCATTTTCATAAAAATGATAAAATGAATCATTTCCGAAAATTATAAATCATTTTTAAAAAATAAAAATATTAAAGAGATCATTTCCTAAAATTAGAAATGTTAAAGGGATCATTTTCTAAAAATAGAAATGTTAAAGGGATCATTTCAAAAAAAATATATTAAAGGGATTATTTCCAAAAAAATAAATATATTAAAGGGATCATTTCCTAAAAATAAAAATATTGAAGGGATAAATTCATAAAAATAACTATATTAAAGGGATAATTTCCTAAAAATAACAATATTGAAGGGATCATTTCCTAAAAATAACAATATTAAAGGGATCATTTCCGAAAAATAAATATATTAAAGGGATCATTTCCTAAAACTGGAAATATTAAAGGGGTCATTTCATAAAAAATGAAATATTATAAAGGAATCATTTGCTAAAAAGAAATATTGATAGGATTATTAATATTTCCTTAAAATTGAATGGTAAATATCCTAAAAATATAAATCTGAAAGGAACAATTTCTTAGAGTTTTGAATAATGAAAATGTGAACAATTGGAAGGGATACTGTTAGACAATATAAATAATAAAGGGAACATCGACAATTATTTATGAAAAATAAATATATGTGAACAATTTTGTACAATTAATATAATCTCGATACGGAGATAATAAATATCTAGATCTCAAAAAATTATTTATGAAAAGAATTAAATTTAAATGTTGATGGATCGGCTTCAGAAACTCAAATATTTATGATTTCACTTGAAAAAAAAATTCCTAATTAGTTACTTGAGATTTACCTATCTTAAACTCCGGAACAATATGCTTGGTAAATTTAGAAGATAAAATCTAAAAATAAAAATATTAGAAAAATTGTTTTTTATAAATGCATAAATTCATAAGGCGGAGTAACTAAAAATTAGAAATCGGGTTTTCACGGATTAAGCTCTAATCGCTTCAAATTAAAAGTTTTGGCTGTGAATTTTATGTTCATGCTTTGGAATTTAGCGCGCTATCTCATACAAAAATTCCGAACTGAGGTTGACTAATATTTTTCAATTGTTTAAGATGCATAGCTGGTATATATATACGTACTTCATACTCTTTTAGTGATGTGTTCTGAGTCAATTGTAAGAATGTAGATGGTATAAAACCTATATTTTGTATACTCTTTTAGTGATGTGTTCTGAGTCAACAGTAAGAATGTAAATGGTATAAAACTCAAAATAAAAGCACCTTAATTTTGTATTTTTTAAAATAACCAGAATGGACGAAATCAATGAGCCTCTGTTTTAATATATTTTTGAAGAATTAAAAAGTAGGCATTTTTTCATTCAACCAGAGCCCGCGAATTAAAATATTTAAAAAAATAAGTGGCAACCAAATTTTCCACGGAGTTTGTTTAATTAAACCGGTTTTATATCGTATCTGGCGAATTTTTATGATTAAAATTGGCGGATTCCGGGAATTGATTAGAATAAGACTCAACATTGAGACTATAATTCTCCACAAAAAAAGGTCAGTTTTATTTTCATAGAGCCTTACTCCTTTTATCGGCCGAAGATATTGTTTGTATCCGTTAATCATGTGACACAAGCTGTCGTCAGAGTTGGGTCTAAGAACCTGAGTTAAGGAGTTACGACTCGAGCTGAAGCTTTTTAAATCGCGGGTTCAGTTTTCCCAAGGTTATAATGCAAGGAAACTTATTTCAGAAGTGTAAGCATTTTTTGTTTTGCAGCGTACTGTTTCTGGGTGGTAAAGTAAACACAAAACGGATGTTACAGCCTGACATGGGGACCATCTTTCACATAACAAAATTTATGAAATATTTTGGTCATAGGAAACTATTATGTGAATTATCAAAATTATCAAAATTCAATGCTTTTATCCTCCTCGGATACTAAAAACATTGATGCATCTTTTCTTGTTTACAAATTCCGCCCAGAGAGAACTGGTTTCAATTTGTACGCAGACTATACGAAACTGCAATTAACTTTCCTTGCATTTTAACCTTGAGTTCTATCTGCGATAGTGAAAACCTTTTATTACCATGGAAAGGACATGTGCGTTTCCAGTTGCTTTGTTTTGGTGTTCCAATAAACGTTTTCAAATGATTTAACCAATTAGACAAAAATATTGTGGGACCTATAATGGCCCCAGGCAGGGTATTCATCAAACAACTTTTTTCGAAAATCCACCACTTAAAAAAGATTTAAGATAAAAGTAACGATCAAAAGTTCAAAGAGACAGGCGAAGCGAGCAAAAGGTTTAGTACTTTTGTAAAAAAAAACATTAAGCGAAATATTAAATTTTGTGTTGAGAAAGATGTTTTTGTATTTGTTTAAAATCAGTTTGATTTGATTGGTTTGTATTGTTACCAGTCAACTAAGTTTCGAAGGAAATGTAGAATTCGAGTTTAAGAAATACAGAAACCTAATCTAAACTTGGAATAGTTAGCCTTAGTATATTTAATAAAACTTTGACACTATGCACACTGCACAGATATGCTGGGCAAAGTTCCGTTAACGGAACGGAGATTTTCGAAAATTAACGGAGAAGTCCGTTAACAAACGGCAAAAACCGTTAATTTTCAACGAAACGGATTACCAGATTTGAAAATAAAATTAAAGTTTGAAAACGAAACTGATAGGTTAAAAAAAATGCAACTTTCGTTCTTCTTTCAAACAAGCGAGTGTGTTGAATGTAAGCAATTTTTATTTCGTAATTTAGAGATGTAGATGCGCGTTGTTTTACCGCGTTATTTAATGTTCTCGGAGGAAACATATGAAATTAAGTGCACAAAAATTACACATTTGTAAATTCATAAAATTTTGGAGCAGAATACCATAAATGATATAAAATTAGTTTCTTACGAAAAAATTATTTTTTTCAAAAAAAAATGTTTCGCGAGTTTTTTTTCAGTAACAATTTTTATTTAGCGTTTAGATAATTACATTTTAATATTTTTTTAATTACCCTGCAAAACTAAATGAAGTGGTAGCATGGGTTTAATTTGAAGATTTTAATTGCATAAAACAGGCTTAAAACCCCTAATCAACCTAAATAGGATACCTTGAAGATTGGTAAGATTAAAAAATCATCCTTTTTTCTACCTGCGGCGGTTTTGGTGGCAGCCATTGATAAATTGGAGTAGGATCATGTCTGAAAAATATTAAATGGAAGTATGATTATATCTGAAAATGATAAATTGGAGTAGGATCGTGTCTAGAAATAGTAAATTGAAGTAGGATTATGTCTGAAAATAGTAAATTGAAGTAGGATCGTGTCTAGAAATAGTAAATTGGAGTAGGATCGTGTCTGAAAATAGTAAATTGGAGTGGGATCATGTCGTCTGAAAATGGTAAACTGCCTAAAAATTTGTAAATTGGAGTATTTTATGTCTGAGATGCGGTATATTAAAAAAGACCATTTTAAAAATATTTTTACAAAGCTGGTTTATCTTTAATATTAAGTTTTATTATAATTGTAAAATCATTATTGTTAAAGCTGGAAAGTATGGATTAGGTCAGATTACCTTTTCATATACTTTGCTTGTCTGTGGGTCTGAATGAACCAATCGGGCCCGAATTTTGTGAAGGACCTCACATGACCCCATGGAGGATCAAAATTTAAAAAAAATTTGCCTCCAACAAAATTTTATTTTTATTAAATTTTGAAAATCCACGAATTTTTTTTTTATAATCTCCGCGAACACTTTTTGTTATTGTTCACAATTGAAATAGGAGATGGGCACGAAGCGCCCTAAAAACTTATAACATAAAAGAATGGGCAAAAGGTTCTGACGCTTATCGAAGAAGACAATTTTTCTCCACAAAAATGTCCAGATTTTTCAAGATTGGCTAAAAAAATGGCTCTTTGCTAATATATATAAACAGGGTGTCTCAATAAAAAGGAGGAATAAGGGTCTACAGGCTCGTTTGTAATAGGATTTTTAACATAGAGACCATTTTTAAAATCTACGTAGAATTTCAGATTCTATGAGCCATTTTAGGCTTGTAAAAGTCAATGTTTATAGGCTTCTAAAGTTTCTAACTGGAGTGAGTAAATATGCTAAAAATAAAGATAATCTCCGTTTGCACAATTTTGTATACGGAACTTGTTTGTAATGGGATTTTCATTCAAGATTGAGACATTGTATGTTAGGTGGTTGTTAGCTGTAGCTTTAGCTAACCAAATGATTAAAAAAATCGATACTTAATTTTGTCAAAAATAAAAAAAAAATCAAAATTAAACTTTTTTTCTTCTAAATTAAAAAAAAACATTTTAGTGTTTCTAAATTCTACGGGCAACGCCGGGCACTCCAGCTCCTAGTTTTTATAATAATAATAATAATAATAATAGTAATAATGATAATAAATCAATTTATTGCTAAAACAATTTATATATACATATATGTTAACTATTATGATGATGAGTGTCGAATGGGTAAAATTAGTTTATTTACATTATATTTACATAAAGGAATTGAGTCTTTGCAACAAACTCTGATTTTCTAGTCCTTGTATTGTCCTTGTATTGTCCAAACCAAATGTCGTAGACCTTAGATATTTCAAACTATGAATTATGTTAGCTCAACTTATCTAAGTTTGAAATATTAAATGTGTACAACATTAGGTCGCTAAAATATTGGAATTCGAAAATTTAAGTTTGTGGCAAAAACTCAATTTCCTTTGTCTCAACTATTGTTAGCAAAAGAGTTATCTAGCAGAGCTGTTTTTAATGCTATACCCAAAATTTATTGTTTGTTTGTATAATTAATTGTAAGCAAAATAACTAAAAACAAACAAATAAAAATAAACATGATGGCGCGACATATGAAAGACTAAGTTAACCAGGGATGGAGGAAGGGAGGGTGCCAGGGATTCGGTTTCAATTAAAGGGAGTGACCGGCAATGTATGTTAGTTAAACTGAGTATGCAGTGTTGTGGACTAATTTTTTGGATTCATTTGAGAAATATAAAACGTTTCCACGATGTATAATTACTGAGTTTGAGTGCAAGGTCGATGTTCAAAATCATGAATTTGGAAAGGTACGTTTTTAGAATTAATTATTAAATAACGACGACGAAAAATAAAAAAAGTTATACAGTAAACTAATTAGATGTTTAGCAACATATTTCTCAAAATAAATTTGTAAATAAATCGATGTTAGAATCAATTATTTCTTTTTCATCATTATATTTGTTGTCGTTACTTGATAATTAAAAAAAATGATTCTGAAAATGTACTTTACCACCCAAATTTATGATTTTGAACCTCACCTTTGCGCTCAAACTCAGTAAATATACCTCGTAGAAACGTTTAATATGTCTCGAATGAATCCTAAAAAGTTTGTTCACAATTCAACCACCAAACATTGCCGGTCACTTCCTTTAACTTGATCATTTGTTAATCTGCAGATTAATTTAACCCTCAGTCGATATCCTGCATGGTAGTCGTACCTGGAAGGAATAACTAAAATGAAGAGACTAAGCATTGATACTCAAATTAAAAGTTTTCACTGTAGATATCGAGATCAAGTGATTAGAATGATATACTAAAGCTCTAGAATTTGAATAATGTAGTTCATCAGCTTTGTTACACATATATTCCAGGGAGGGGAAGGGGGCATTTATAAAGTATCATCATAAATACAAGCAAAAATAATTCATATATAGAATAGAATATAGAATAGATATAGAATCGAGAGAAATCCCCCAAAATTAGCCATTTTTTCGTTAATAAATTGAAATGGGGGGGCGCGCGTAGAGGGGGGCGGGGGGCGCGGCCCCCCCCTCGTACGCCCCTGAAAACATTTAACACCGAAAACTAGTAATTTCGGGATTTTAAGAATGTGGTTTACCATTTTGTCACCTTCAAAATTGACGGAGATATTAGGAAATTTGTCCAGATTCCAGTTGATAAAAATCAACAAAAAAATAAACGTTTAATATCTCCGTCAATTTTAAAGATAAAAATAAGCTAAACCGTATTTTGAAAAGCTCTTTAGACGTTCAATCTGAATTAGATGCACTTCATGTCATTTATCGATATCAGAAATTAAAGACGATATTCATAAGTTGTCTATCAATTCTCATATTTTTGGGACACCCTGTGGCTTGATGATGATGATGAAATTAGTAAGACCTTAGTTAAGTACTTACTTATAATTACGATAACTAGGATAAAAGATATTAGTGGTGAACATTCCATTTGGAAATCTTTAAAACTGTTTACATTTTTCTGAAAACATCTCATTCATCAAAATATATTAAAGCTATAAATAGATGTATATTGATTGTCTGTCTGGATGTCTGTTCGTTTGTATACAATAAATATTAATACGACTAAATCGACTGGGCCCACAGTTGTTGTGTGGCAACTCCAGGGAAGATTTATCGACCGTAAAAAATTTAAATTACGTTGATATTTTAAAATTTTTGAAAAAGCGTCAAGCAGCAGAAAAATCCGCGAAAAATTTGAGAGCTAAAATTAAGGAAATAAAAAGATGGCTAGTATTATATTGCAAATTGTGATTACAGTTTATAAAAAAAGGAATAAAAATAATAATAATTTATCTAGTAAAAAATGAGTCAGCATATAAGGAATAGTTATAGATGATTACGCTGATAGGACGGGAACATAGATTATTAAAAATAACAGAAAAAAAAACATTATATGTCGTCTTTTCAAGATTTAGGGGTTTTTCGTTCACAATAACCATAAGGCAAACGCATAAAGGAGTTATGCGCAGTCGGTGTTGAATTACAAGACAGAGAGAGAGCGCCTGTTCATCACCGACTGCGCGTGACTCCTTTGGGATATATCCTGGAATAGGAGAAGCTATGAGAAAACTACGAAAATGATAATTTGTTTAGTAAACTAAATTGAGTCTGAAGGAAAAGTATGGATGATTACACTGATTGGATGGAAATTAAAGAACAGGAAAAATAGAGGAAAGCAGGAAAATTTGAGGGGGGGGGGGGGGGGAAAGTGATGTTTTAAATTTAAAGTGTTTGGTATAAATAAATAATCCTCCTCCTATCTGGGTAAACAAGTTTGTCAGTAGAAATGATGATGAACAAATTTTTAAAATTGGTAATAATGTAATTTCAATCAATCAATAACAAAACTTGTGGGGTGAGGGAACCTAAGGGGAGGGGGGAGGGTGGGCCCTGGGGATTAATGAATAAAGGAGAGATAAACCTATGTATGTAGTAAAAACGTGAGAAAAAATAATTAATGATTATTCTAATTAGCAGGGACTTATCTATATACTAGCTCAAGTACCCAGCGTTGCCCGTGGAATTTATGAAAATAAAATTTTGAAAAAAAATTGGTTTCTGAAAGAAAGAAATTTTGGATTTCGGAGTTTCAGGTCGTCTTTACAGTCTCATTCTTTGTGTTTCGCAAAGAGCTTTCCAATTTAGTGAACTTTTCTATTTCAAATTTGATAAAAAGAAGTAATTTAAAATGAAAGAATATGTTTTAGAATTGATCAATTTGAATCAAGAATATTGAGCAATGTCAGAATCTCAGATCAGAGCACCCCCCCCCCCCCTGCCAGGCAAAAAGTAAAAGGAAATAATGTTTTTGGTCCATTTTCTAATATTTAGGACTATTGCTTAAATAATTAATTTTCTTTCTATTTCCAGACAACGGAATGTCGGTTTCTTTATTAATCTAACGAGTGTCCAAAAAAAAAGTAAAAAAAATTTTAATTTAATCCCTACAGAGGTCAGAACTTTTTCTTTTTACACCCTGGAACCTATACCCTCTTTCATTTTTCGCAAAAACTCCCTTTAATACCGAAATGCGGGAGGGTTGGCTGCTCTCAGGGTTTTGGAGTAAAATGTAAAATTTTATCCGACCTTTTATGAAAATTCCTCTAAAAGGGGTACTTAAAAACTGAAAATTTAAAAAAGGGCTCTGCTACCCCTTTTTTACTGTCTTTGGTTAGATATTTGCAGAAATAAAATCGCAAATTTCAGTCCAAGTAGCGATCAAATAGTTTTGATTAGCCAAACTAACAACATTTGTTTTTAGCTTGAATACATTATTGGTAAATGTTAAAAAAAATTTTTTTTAGTTAGATACATGAAGGTCTCATTTGGGTTGGTCTAATACATCTTAATATCTTTATAGGTTATCTTATTTCCAAGTTTTTTTCAGAAAAATCCAGTTTTTGCCTAAAAAAATCTTTAATTGATTGGTGCCATTAAAAAATGCGTTTTTACTCAAAAGTCAAGAAATAAAAATTGTTCTTTGTTAAATTTAGAGCATTTTATATGGTCCACACTATACCAAAAACCATCAAATTATTGAGATATCTGAGGAAAACTATGTTTTTTTAGTTTTCCTCAGATATCTCAAAATTTCTTATCACGACTAGCATTCTTCATTAGGTATAATCTTTTTAAATAGTAATAGTTCCAAAAAATTTGGCTTTATAAATCCAAGTTTTCATGATTGAATTTTTTTGGACAATAATTGAAATCATATATTTTACAGACAGCGAAACTAAAAAATATTAATTATTGGACAATTATTAGACTATTATTGGAATAATATCTATATAATAAAACAAGACGTTCATATATGTTGCAAAACGGCTGGACCGAATGGGCTGAAAGTTTTGTAGACACTCATGGGTGGCCAGGGGGTGTTATAGGCTAAAAAAGTTGATTTTTTATTTCAAATTTTTTTTCCACGGGCAACGCTGGGCCCTTCAGCTAGTAACACATAAATAAATAAATCATTTTGTCATACTCAGTCAATATCTACAATTCATTTATTATTTAAATACTTATTATTTTTCTATTATATATATAAATTACTTTCTTGTGAGGAAATACTTTGAAGCTTTTTAGGAAGAATTGTAAGTTGCTTTCTTTATTTGCCCGTAATATATCTTTTAAAGGGGCTGTAAGTGTCATTTCAAGTGACCCTCCATGCAAAGATGGCCATTTACAACGATACGTTTATAAGCTTTGTCTGATTAAGCATGGATTAGATATTATCATTTGCGGCTTCTCTGCGAAAGTGACATGCGCATTCCTTCCTTACAAGAATCAATAGAGAAACTTACAGAAAAAAGTGACGTTATCTTCAACATATGTGATCAGTTTAAGGTTTCAAAGGGAACCGTTGTAAATTGGGTATTGACATAATTTATTGGTTGGTCACTTATAATTGTGCTTACAACTTTATAATTGTGCTTACAACTTTATAATTGTGCTTACAACTTTATAATTTGTGCTTACAAATATTTTGTAAATATCTACAATATTTACAATATCTTCCATTTTGTAAATATCAACAATATTTACAATATCTTCTATTTTGTAAATATTGTAGATATTTACAAAATAGAAGATATTGTAAATATCTACAATATCTTCTATTTTTTTAATATCTACAATATTTACAATATCTTCTATTTTGTAAATATCTACAATATTTACTTCTGTTTAAAGCTAAAGCAGAAAATTGGGATTGCAGCAAGTTTTACTAAAAATTTTAATCAATTCCCGTGCAACTAAATTTTCAACTGCAGAATGCAAAACTTTCAAAATTGGTCGGTTTTTATTTAAAACTTTTCTTATTAAACATCGAGAAAAATGAAATCCTAAAACTAAATTAAATTTAGTTTTTACAAGAATTCTGAATCCCAAGTTAGGTTTTGAACGGAAAGATAAAAAACCCTGCTCTGTATTTTTGTTAAAAATTGTTAAAGTTTCATTAAAAATAAGTTAGAGAGAAACTAAAGAAAAAGTTTTTAACTTGACAACTTAACATTTAAGTATCTTATGAGACAAAATGTCTGTGAAAATAATACTTGAAAATGATCTTAATTGTGCACTACGTAGTTTGTTACAACTTTTATCTTAAGGTAAATAATCTATCTATCTATCTGTCTATCTATCTATCTATCTATCTATATATGTATTTATCTTTATATCTATTCTATATCTATCTATCTATATATGTATCTATCTTTATATCTATCTATCTATATATGATATATATAGACATAAATATATATATACATACATATATCTATATATTTAGAGGCAGTGTGTCATCACTAATGGTTTGGTTCTGACTGAATGAAATACCGGAGAGTTCTGCTGAATGTAGGAGAGTATATAATGTATGCAATATATTTAGAAAGGAACTGATTGCTCGCCTGCAACTTCAAAACTATAATCCTCTTATATCTTTACAACCTGGTGTCACAGCTCTAATATATTTAACACTGTGTGTATTCTGCTATGGATGAAAGTCAAAGTTTATAATATTAAAGGTTTACACCATCAAGAATCAGAATACTAAGTTTTCCCGATAAAAGTTAACCTACTCAACTGCAAACTATTAAACCAGTGTAAGACCATAACTCGCAGTTCTACCGAGTTTTTGCACATATCGTAGCAAACCCTATATTTGTAAACCTTAACATACCTGGATATGTTACATTGTACATTGTCTGTAAATAAAAATGCGCTTGTAAATAGCAACGCAAAACTTGTATTGCGATTAACCTAACCTAGCTGCTCGCTTTGATTACGATGAGAGAGTAATTCTTCTTGGTTAGCGAACGAGAATCACTTTCTTGAATAATAGATTTAGATTGGGAATTGGTACAGATAAAATCGTGTCCGGATTGACATTGATAGTAAGGAACTGATACAAATAAAGTTGTGTCCGGATTGACATTGATAGTAAGGAACTGATACAAATAAAGTCGTGTCCGGATTGACATTGATAGTAAGGAACTGATATAGATAAAGTCGTGTCCGGAATGACATTGATATGTAAGGAACTGATACAAATAAAGATGTGTCCGGATTGACATTGATAGTAAGGAACTGATACAGATACAGTTGTGTCCGGATTGACATTGATAGTAAGGAACTGATACAGATACAGTTGTGTCCGGATTGACATTGATAGTAAGGAACTGATACAGATAAAGTTGTGTCCGGATTGACATTGATAGTAAGAAACTGATACAGATAAAGTTGTGTCCGGATTGACATTGATAGTAAAGTATTGTGGAACTGATTTGTTATTATACCTCGCCGATCATAGCGAGAGGGATTGAATTAAGGTACATATAAAGTTGTGTCAGGATTAAGCTTGATTGAAGTGATTAGTTCTTATGCCCCGTAGACCTACGAGAGGGATTGAGTTGTACCTGGATTGATACTGGTCTAAAATGATCTATTGGAGTAGGGCATTTACTACAGAGTTACCCAATAAAAACTTGAGGCAAATTGGTTAAGGGGTTTCCGAGTTATGATCGGACATATAAACAAACAAACAGAGATTACAATAATTTTAAATATATTTTTCAAGACAAATTGTTTCATTGTTTCACTGAGATTTAAAGGTCTCATCCACGCTTTCAAGCAAAAATCGATGAGAATTTTGCCAATTACTTCTTTAAAACCAAAGCTAACAACAAATGCTAAACAGTGTTAAAATATGCATATAAAGGGCTACGGAAAAGGCTAAGGCATTTTGCCTTGGCAACATTTTGCCTTGGTAGCATTTTGCCTTGGTAACATTTTGCCTTGTTTAATTATTCAAGGCAAAATGATACCAACGCAAAATTTAATCAAGGCAAAATGTTTCCAAGGAACAATGTTACCAAGGCAAAGTGTGACAAGGCATGAAATGGGCCAAAACAACCTAAAAAAAGGAAAACAACACAGCAAAACCTTTTCGCACGCATGATACCCATTACAACAACATATATAGTTTTATTCATCTTGTCGATGAAATTACTTTATCGCCCTGTTGTAGGGTTGATAAAGTAACTTTATCCCCGTTCAACGATTAGGATTGAAATTTAAAATTTTAATAACAGGGTGATATTGTAGTGCGATAAAGTCACTCAACCACCCTACAAAAAAAACAACATTATGTGTGATAAATTTCCTCAAAAGTAAATGAAACGTTTTTTTGATCATCAGAACTATTATTATAGACTAGAATTGTTTCATCTCCTGGCATCCTTCCGGTCTGCATAACACGAGGTTTCGAGTTGAAAACCCTACTTCCGGTTCAAAGAGAGAGAGAGGGGGAAAGCCGGAAATGCCTTGTTTTAAAAACAATTAAGTTAAATTTTCACTTTCACTATTTCAGTTTAATCAGCGGAGGAGGAGGGTGG